GTTCGAAATGGAAATGGCTATGCTGTGGATGAGGGAAGAGCATGACCAACAGATCTGAGCCATATCGAATTAGATAGGTGAGTCCAGTCATCGCAATAATGATAGTCAAGCAGCTAGCAATTCAGATATGGATGAACACCTTAATTCTGATAACCCTCTCATTGGTCAGAACGCTGGGGTGGCCCCACTAAGGATAATGACACTGGGGGTGGTCTCGCCGAAGATGATAATATCGGGGATGACCGCGTTGTTCCTCTCAGAAATCATCCAAAGCATGATATAGATGAGGACGAAAAGATGAAAGATCTTGAGAGCAAAATAAATGCTCTGATGTCTGTTCGAGAGCTGAAGAAAATAGGTATTCTGTGTCCTTACCCAAGAGAGTGGGACTTAATAGCATACCCGGCGAAGTTCAACCTGATCAACTTCACGCCGTTTGACGGAAATGGTTCGCCCACTCAGCATCTGATCTATTTCAAGTCTTACTTAGGCATGATATCTGGCAATGAGGCATTCATGGTCCGGTCATTCGTTGGTACCCTTCGCAGGCCCACCTTCGATTAGTACCACCGTCTCAAGCCTATAAGCATTAACAGCTGGGAAGACCTAGAGAGCCTGTTCCTCGCTCACTTCTTTGATGATGATGCCAATGTGTTCATCAGGACACTCTTCGATGAGAAACAAAAAGACAACGAGATGGTCGACAACTTCGTCAAGCGCTTCAGGAATAAAGCAATGAACTGCTAAGATCCGATCACAAAGGACTTCATCCTCCAAACCTATCACAATAACCTCTCTTTGGACGTGTTGAAAGTTATGGGAGTGGCACCGTCCAACACCTGGAAAGAGTTAAAAGTGCGCGGAGAGCAGGCAGAACGCTTCCTCAGAAGGAAGCAAGCCGAGAGAAGCCAACCGATGGCTAATCCTCCGAACTCATGCTTCGTCTCCCATTGTAAGGGGAAGGCACCTGGAGCAATTGTTGATGTTAATCAGACATCGTAACAATAACCCCGGAGACAGCAATATACTTCGGGTCCGAAACTCTAAAAAGAGTACTCCTTCAAGGACGAAGACGTTGCAGCCATTTTCGAGTCCCTCCTTGAAAATAACAAGATCAAGCTACCACCTATCACAGATCAGGAGGAAGCGGACAACACTGTAGATCCGAAGTACTGTGCGTACCATAGGAGGATCCTTCATGCTACCATGGTTTGCTTCGCTCTCAAGAATAGCATTCAAACCTTGATTGAAACCGGCGTCATAACGCTAAATTAAGTCGAATGAAGGCTCCGAAAAGTATAAGAGTATACAAGTATAAACCACTTCTCGATCCTCCAACAGATGCATGAGGTTAAACTGCTCCCTGCAAACTCCAATAGGTATATAAGTCTAAACTGTTTCCTACCTTTGACGGGAAGTTCCTGAAGAATTTTATACATAATATTTTTAAGGATAACTCGATCATGCAACTGAGTTCAATATCAGACCTAATTTTGCAAAAAGCTGGGGGTGGATAATTCATGTAACGGGAAGTTCCCGAAAGAATTCTATATAGTGTAGTCTTAGGGATAACCCGATCACTACAAGAAGGTGATGAATAAGAAACTCTCATTCAAACTCCAGCTACGTTTGTGCACTTAACACTCCCATTATTAGAGTCCGGACATAGTACTCGGAATTTTAATCTCCTGATCATTGATAATTATCAAACCCATCCGTGTTAAGTATTTATCACTTAACATCAGGAACTCCCTTTGAGTGATTTGTACGAATCAACACTCCCACTGTAATTTATACTCTCACTCTTACTATTTATTTGGTCAAACCTTCCTACAGTTAGGGCTAAAACCAAAATCCCTTCTCGATTCCTTTCATGAATGAGAGGTCCACTTTCACTCCCACTTGGTCAAACCTTTAAATAGTTAGGACCATAACCAAAATCATCTCTCGATTCTTTCCATGAAAGAGAGGTCCCTAAATTGAATTATCAAACCTTTAACAGTTAGCATCACTCAAACCCCCATTTGGTCAAACCTTCCTACAGTTAGAGCCAAAGCCAAAATCTCCTCTCGATTTATTTCATGAACAAGAAGTCAACTTTCAAATCGAGTGATCAAACCTTCCCACAGTTAGGGTCACCTCAAACTCCCGTTTGGTCAAACCTTCCTACAGTTAGGGCTACAAACTTTTAGTGGGACAGTCCGGTACCACTAAAGTTTTTTCATTTATAGGTTCACATACATTCGAATAGACTAAATAAAATATGCTAGTTTCTTTTTTGTTATATTTTTTAACAAAAGCTACCCAGTGTTGTTTCCCAATCAAGCAGTGATCACAGTGGGATAGTGTTGTACCTTGTATGGATGGAAGTAGTTGTCACCTTGCGAGAGTTTGTAGCCCTTTCTCGCTCACGTGGTCAAGCTGCTTGTGCCACAAATCTATAGAGGTACCTTCCACTGTTTCAAGTTCATCATTCTCTAAGTGAAACTGGGTCTTATAGAGAGTGCAATACTTCTTTCCTCTCGCTAATACAAGTGCTCCTTTAGTAAGCTTTCAACATCCTTTACCAAAGATGCTTGTGTTTCCTTCTTCATCAAGCTTGTCGGTGGAGAGAAGATTGAGACGAAGATCGGGCACAAATCTAACATCTTTTAGAACCATCTTTATTCCAAGGTTAGTAGTAACACAAATATTTCCAATGCCAAGAATTTGAGAAGAATTTTTGTTACCCATTTTACCATTCCAAGATCACCTTCATGAAGCAAAGTGAAGTAGTCCTTCCTGGGAGTAGCATGGTAGGAGGCACCAGAATCAATTACACATTCCAAGTCTTGGCAAGTGAGATTTGCACAGTCTTCTTCACATGCCGAGAAAAACACAATTTCATTGTCACTAACAATAGATGCATTTTCATTCATTTCTTGTTTTTCATTAGTCTTTCCTTCCTTTTGTTCTCGCTTCATTCTTCCCGTAGTGATAGCAACTAATGTCAAGCCTTTGATTTTCCTCGACTTGTCTTGATTCTGAGGCTGTCGATATTTACTCCTCCCCCTATTCTGAGAATGGGAGGATCCATATGACTTTCTTCGTATTTCTTTATTCAAGAGGCTGCTTGTAACTTGGTTCATGGATACAACTCTATCAGGTGCAGAGTTGCTAAGAGACACCATCAGCGTCTCCTAACTATCTGGTAATGAGCTAAGCAAAAGAAGGGTTGAAGCTCATATTCTAACACCATCTTCATGGCTGCAAGTTGATTTATAATACTTTAAATTTCATTCAAATGTTCAGATATAGAATCACCTTCCTTGAACTTGAGATTGACAAGCTTTCGAATGAAGAAAGCTTTGTTGCTTGTGGTCTTTCTTTCTTAGAGATCTTCAAGTTTCTTCCACAAGCTGTTCGCCGAAGTCTTATTTGACACACGGTGGAATACAGTGTCATCCACCCATTGTCAAATGGTGTCGATGGTTTTACATTCGAGGTTCTTCCAATCATCCGCCGTCATAGACTCTGGATTGGAGGATTCACCTTCAACTGGCGCATATAGGTCCTTGCAATATAGAAGATCCATCATCTTTGCCTTCCATATCATCCAATTGAGGCCATTCAAACTGATCATTCGAACGTCGCCGACGGGAATTTCCATCTCAAAACAAGAAGATTAACAACCTTTCTTTGATACCACTATTAGGAAATTAACAGTACAACAAGACCTTTCCTATCTTTGTGATGAGATGAGAACAAAAAATAGAAGAGAAAAAACAGAGAAATACAAAGAGAAATATTGAGATTGCACACACAATATTTACCGAGATTCATCTCAAATTGAGCCTACGTCCTCACCCGCCCCTTCTTCACTGTTTTTGCTATAATCAAATGAAAGCTTACAAAAGAGTCTTCTCTCAAGTTGGTATAACTTAACTTGAGGATCACTTTCTCTCAAACTTACTTGAGGATTACAACTTTCTCTCAAACTCACTTGAGGATTACAGATTTGTATGTGATTCTTCTTCTTGCTTCTTGTTGTCAAAGACAATCTATCAATGCATACATGTAGTCAACCACAAAATTTCCATGGAATAAATTCATATTAATTCATCATGGGAATGGATCCCGTTCCCATCATTTAAATAGCTCAATGTCTACCGGACTTTTCACGTGTATGCATTTAGTTGTTTTTTGTTGTACTTATATGCTCTAAAATTTCTTTTTTTAAATTGAAATGTCAGCTCCTTTGGTTAATCAGTCGTGAGAATATACTCAATTACCAGACGGGGTATTTTCTCACTACCCGTTCATCAATTTGACCAATTTAATCAATTAATGGAAGGTTAGTGATTTTTTTTATTGAGTAAAAATAGAAATGAGTTTAATTCATGCTATGCGATAAGCATTATTTTTAAAATGAATTACAATTCTCAATCACTATCCATTAAGTAATAACATGCCAATTTAATCACTATCCATTAAGTAATAACATGCTTTTAGATAGTGGATACATGGTCCAAAAAAGTAGGGTAGACAAGTGAAAAGTTGGGAAACCATTATCGTATTTATGGCTAATTAGCCATAAGAATTTTCAGAGTTTTTTGAATAAGAAGAAGGGGAAAAAGAAGGCTATATATATTACGAATTATCATATAGAGAGCCATCCGTATCCCATCCTAGAGATCATATACGGAGGAATGAGAAAGATTAAACATGATGCAAGTCACGTGTTAACAACTCATAACGAACATCATCTTGGTGATTTACATCGTTTTTTTATAGAGTTTGAACTGATTCACATTATTTGTATTGTTTTATTAGCTATGTAGTTTTTTTAACCGTTGAAATGTCAGTTTTTAAAATTATATTGTCTTTTGCGTGTATAAAGCGCTGTGTTCATTGCTGATCTACTACAAGAACATACTTTACCTCTTTGCGCCAAAATACTACGTACCAATTATTTTGAGACAATTAAGAGTAAAAATATTAAAAAGAAAGCAAAAAAGAACCTCGCCGATGCCGGAGGAAGCGCCGGTGATCACGACCACCTTGTTAGTCATGTCCTCGGGGAATAGAGAAGAGACGAAGGCAAGGAAAAACTTGAAGAGGTAGAAAGGAGGGAGGAAGAAAGCAAGTACTCCTAGAATTATTGGGGGCATGACAAAATTCATCAGATCCGTCATCAACTCCATATTAGTTGTGCCTTGCTGAGATTAATAAAATACCAAATTCTATATATGAAAGGAAATTAAGTCTCAGTAGACGAAGATGACTTAGAAACTGATGGAGGAGCGAGGATATGTACAAGATTTAGGGGGTTGTTGGGGTGGGGGGATGAGCTCAAGGCAGTGCTGCATGAGTTCGCATGGATTGTGCTGTGGGCACGTGGTCGGATTGGTGTGACACGCGGCAGAAGAGAGTTTGGGTGCGGATACCGGAGGAGGGGCTCGTCTCGTTTGGGTTAATTTGGAGTATTTGTATGATAATAAAGCTTTCTTTCAAAAAATTTAATTTTTTAATTATTGATTACTTTAATTTAAGAATTTAAGTGTTAACTTGAAAAGAGTATGTCGACCTTTTTACCAGTTCATTAACACCGCTTAGATAATTAGTTGAATAAAATTGAAAATGAAAAATATTTGGAAAAGTTTTCTGAAATACTCCAAGCTTAAAGGGGGTTAAGCAGCACTTTTTTAAAGTTTATGGGGTTTAACTCAAAATCAACCAAACTTAGGAGGGTTTTGTGAAATTAATGTTTTAATTTGATAGGGGTTATCTTAGAAACAAGCCAAATGAAGGGGATTTTGTGAAATTTACCCTAATTACTATTTCACTTTTAAAGTACAAAATTTTTCTTTAAAAAAGGTAGTTTGTAATTGATGGAAAAAGAACTTTGAAGTTAAGCACTAATTAATTAGAAGGATACATTCTGTAGAGATTCATCTTTCTAACTTCTTTTAATGCATGGTAGATATAGAAATTCACAATAAGTGACAATTTTTTTATCATATAAGGTAATTTAGAATAACTAGTAGGATGCAAGGAACTAAACAACAATTTCAATAGGTTGAGGGACTACTGTGAAACTAATAAAGATTTAGGGGACCAATGTATAAAAAAAACTTTTTATTGGAGAACTCATTTTGCATCGCACCTAGTTCAGTTGTGTAAAAATGTGAACCAACATTATCTAATCTCTTCGCGAGCTCATTTTACCCTGCATGTCACGTGTCTGTGCACATTAGCTTACGTGTCTATGCAGTACGCGTTTAATTTAATGACTCACACATAAATAGCCAAGACTTCACTCTCTTATATTGATCCTCTTCTTCCTCATCAAAATTCTCCATTCAAATTCTCTTGAGCACAAAAAAGTAAGCAAGCATGGATCTAGTAACAAATCTCACAAACTTAATTGCAACTCCAACAATCCTTGCAATCCTCTTATTCCTTCTCCCGCCTCTCTATCTCTACAAAACGTTTCTTTCTTTCTTTTCTTCGCTTTTCCCCGAAAACATGTCCAACAAGGTTGTTCTCATCACCGGTGCCTCCTCCGGCCTTGGCGAGGTTTTTCTCTCTCCTCCATTTTCTCTAAATAGAAAGAATTTAGTGCCTGTAATAGACCATATGTATTAATTTACTTGTCATTTAGGTTTAACATGATAAAAGTTGGCATAAAAAAAACACCGAAATCTTTAGTTTCGGTTGCATGTATTAGCTTGCTGATAATAATAAGAAGTAATATTAATAATTAATAATTTAGCATATAATATATTTTAACTTCTGTATTGTATATTTTTATTAGGGGTTTTGCTATATCAGATCACCAAGCGTACATATTTCTATTTTTTTATCGCGCTTTTGGTGTACATGCAAATTTAACCCACCTTCCCACGAGAGAACAACGACCTTCTGAGCTGCCTATATTTCTAAATGAGGGCCGCCCATATTTCTAAATTAGACTCCCAAATCTTCATATTTGTTTGAGATGGAATATTATTTAGGACAACCTAACTAATTTGGTGATCTAATTAAAACAATTTAATAGATTTGGGGTCTTATTTAAAACAAATTGATGGATCTGACGGTCTAATGCTAAAATATGAAGATTTAATATAGAGTTAACAGAGATTTTTAGATCTTATATAGCTAAAGCCCTTTTATGTATGACCTTAGGCCCTGTTTGCTAACGGGCTAATGAAATAATTAAGGAGGTTTAACCCGTTCTTAACCATTCAACCAATAAACATTATTGCTCAAGGATTAATAAAATCTCAGGTGAGGCTTTAACTGAAAGTTAGCCGGTCAAAAGATGGGCTAACTATCATGCGTGAAGGCTCGGGCTAAGCTTACACATGGGGGAGGCAGTGGGATGTTTTTGTAAAAATTACAGTTAGTACCCTTCTCTTTGAGTATATTTACTCATACTCTTGTTTTATGATTGCCCATCTTGGTCGAACTAGCTAGAAGGCATGTGGACCAAGTATTGCCGATTTCATCTCTATTTAAAATTTTACAGAAGTCTTAAACCTCCTCATGAGACGTTTAATATCATTAAATATACATAGACCAAAGTTTATATAAGCTAATATCTTTTAGCTTTTAAATTATTTCATTGTTTTTATGATAAATTAATTAAATAATACTGTAATGATGGCATTTTTCATAATGTGAATGTTTGCAAATTTAGTTAATTCAACGTGACATTCAGTATGTTTTGCTAGCTTCAACAATGGTAAAATTAGCATTTGTGTGAAAAGTTGGAGGACCAACCTTCTTAACCCTTCTTTGTTTATCAAGCACAATAAAGTTAACCCTTCATCTATATCCAATTCAAAAAGAATTTAATTATTTAAACCCCTTACGAAGTGTTAACCACGTTAGCCCTTCTCCTTAAGCTCTTATCTCTTAATCCCTTGCCATGTGGCACCTTATGATTTTGAGTTATTTTGCTATCATGTCCATGTACTACGTGACAATTAGCTAAAAACCTGAATGGAACAAAGTGTTTTAGGGTTGAGCTAGGCTATTAATAGTATTCGATATGCAGTTAACATGGTCTTATAATTTAAAATTCAGACTTTGAAATTGAAAATACAAACTAATGGATGTGATCTACTACACATGAACAATTTAGAAATAAAATTTCAAAGGATTTTATTGCATTTTGAATCATATACCAAAGGGTGAAAAAAATTAAGCAATTTTATGAAAATACTAAATCGTTGACTTTTACAACATGTGAGACATGGGTTAATGACGCCAAGATCCATTGACATTTTATTTCTAGATAGTTCTTGTATAGTAGATCAAATCCACTGCTTTTGATTTCCAATTTCTTACTTTGAATTTTAGAATTGGGTTAATAGTATTTGTCATTGTTTTAAATATCCTCGACATGGCTCGATATATCGCTCGATATATCCTTTTATAGGGCTTGTCTCAACCGTTATGGTCACTAAATATCCTTTACTGCTTTTTTGCTATTTTAGGCGATATATCCCTAATATGGCTGATATATCAGCCGATATGTTGACTGATATATCCTTTTATATGGCTTGTTGCAAAACAATATACCATATTTGGTAATTTTTCGGCGAGATATCATGATTTTTTCATTATATCAAATGACATTTTGCCCTAAAAAATCAGACGAAATATTAAAATATTGATTTGTAACTTTATTTGTTTCACAAGGTTGATTAATGAGCCTAAACATATATTATTTACATTTTGTATGCTTAGATTTCATTAAGTGTGTCGAGATTACATTTTAGTGCATTATACTATATATGCAAATATTTATTGTGGCATTCTGATATTTATCACATATCCCCGATATTTCCCCGATATCCGTAATCCGATATGAATTTTATGTTGGATTTTTTGGTCAAAACTACTTTCCAAAATGAGTTTTCAAACTATAGATATTAACTACAAGTACTTTTCATAAATGCTTAGTAGCCTAGTGGAAAGTTTATGTTTTGGTGTTTCAAAAGGTCCCTTGTTCGAGGCTTGCCAACGGCAAGTCGAGAAGTGTTTTATTTGAATTAATCCCTCATAAGTTCTAGTGGATCGTGGGTCGTGGGCCAAGGGCCAATGGGTCAGAGATCGGGGCTAATCGGGTTGAGGTGCTAAGTGGTGCTTTGTTAGGCGTACTTTGGGCCGTAGGTCGTGGGTCGTAGTTTGACAAAGTTCGCTCGTTTGACGAGGTTCATCTGTCATACGAGGTTCATCTGTTTGCGATGTTCGTTTGTTCGACGAGGTTCGTCTGTCATACGAGGTTCGCTTGTTTGAAGAGGTTCATCTGTCATACGAGGTTCGCCTGTTTGACGAGGCTCGCTCGATCGACGAGGTTCGTCTATCATACGAGGTTCGCCTGTTTGACGATGTTTGCTCGTTCGACGAGGTTCGTCTGTCATACGAGGTTCGCCTATTTGATGACGTTCGTTTGTCAAATGAGGTTTGTCTAATTTGCTGAGACGTGACCCTCGTGTTTCATAGCAACACATTCATTGATTGCCTCGTATTCAGCAGTTACTGCATGTAATAGTTACAACAACAATTAGAACAATTTAATGCATTAATGTTACAATCTTAATTGCCATTAAGAATTATAACAGTCACATTAATTACTAGTGACTCTTGAGCTGGCCTTAGAGGCCTATAAATAGCGCCCTTGGGCAGCTCTTGGTTGTGGCTGAAAACTCTCTCGTGAGCATGGAATACAAATGTCAGTATAGAATACGAACGTCGGTATACACACGCGACCTTGGAAAACGAACATCGGATCGACGTTGTTGTTGTTGTTGTGCTGTTGCTGTAAAAACTGTGCCCACGGGAACCCTGAAACCGAAAGGTTTTGAACCGAAAGGTTTTGAGATTGAGGAGATCTTTTGCCTTGACCGAAATGTCTTATAGATCGAGGAGATCTTGATAGTACTGGGTTGGTACACACTAGAGTATTGTACTGCTGTTCCTGGAAGCAGTTTGGCCTTGGGATTCTTACACCGGAGTAGGCCAAATATTGCTTTAAGCACAGCGTTTCACAAACGCACAGCAGTTAATTAAAAAAATTTAAAATAACAGCACACCATCCTTCACTGTTTAATTCCAGATTTAACCATAATTTCCAACAATCTTAAAGCAATATTTCAGATCTACTAATGGATCCTGTAAGGATTCTTGGAGTGGACTGTCTCAAGTTAGAAAACTTTGATGGATCTAATTTCAACGCATGGCGTCGAAAAGTGATTTTTGGGATGCAACTCCTAAAAATCTACTATGTGGTTTCTGAGGAGAAACCTGACTTTGAAGAAGACTCAGAGTCTGAAGCCTCTTGGGATAAAGATAATCATTTCTGTAGGAGTTATCTCCTTAACTGCCTAGCTGATAGTCTAGCAGATGCTTACACCAATAAGCCCTCTGCAAAGGAAATCCGGAATGCTCTTGAGGAGCAATACAAGGATGAGGAGAAGCTTTCCAAGTCTCACCTCATTGACAAATTTCTGGACTTCAAGTTTGAAGATAACACTGAGGTTTTGCCTCAAGTCAAAGAGCTCGAAAAGCTTGTTATGAAGCTGAAGGATGAAAATATTAGTCTTTGTCAAACCTTTATTTCTGGTAAAATTATCAACAAGCTTCCTCCATCTTGGATGTCGTTCTCCACGGACATTCGAAGAAGGAAAATACATGTGACTTTATCGGATTTGAAGAGGTTCATTCAGATCGAGGACGAGATTCGGACTTGCACAAAGAATGAACTCCTAGCTAAGCAGAAGGCGTCTGCTTACATGGTGGCTACTAACTCTGAGAAGGGTACCAATTCTTCTAAGAAAAAAAAGTCTTTTAACAAAAAGAAGAATCATAATCCGAAGAAGCTGAATGTTGAGAAGAAAGATTTCAAGAAGAGCGACAAATGCTTCAACTATGGGAAGCAAGGACATTTTGCCAAAGACTGCAAAGCACCAAAGAAGGGAACAGTACACAATGTTAATCAACTTGATAATTATGTGGCTATGATCTTTTAGGTGATAACTCCCTGCAGAGTCTCTGGTTGGTGGTTAGATACAGGTGCTACCTATCATGTCTGCTCCAACAGAGATTTGTTCGCTTTCTATGTTGTTGCCAAAGAGAACGTATCAATGGTTGATCATTCTGTGGTTCCTGTTCTTAAAACTGGGACTGTGGTGCTAACTCTTTCTTCATGAAAGACTCACATTGAAGGATGTGAAACATGTTCCTTCAATTGCCAAAAACTTAGTCTCTGGAAGCCTGCTGTGTGACGCCGGTATGAGGCTAGATTTCCAAGGAGGAAAGGTTTTGTTATCTTTTAAAAAAATATATTTTAGCAATGCATATCGTAGTGATGGCATGTATAAGATCAGTACTATTATACCCAACTCAGTTATAAATAAAGTATCCTCTTCTGCTTACTCCTCTGTATTATGGCATAATAGGCTAGGACATGTAAATTATAGAAAGTTGTCTAGCATGGAGAAGTTGGGATTACTTCAGAAATGTGGGGGTAACAAACCTGACAAGTGTGAAGTCTGTGCGCAAGCAAA